CCCCACATTAAAAAAAGGGACTGTTGAATCCAAAATCATGTAAACGTATTTGTGCTATAGGTTCAGTCTGGCCAAGTTCACCAAGTCAACTGTTTCACTGTCATTTCCTAATAATTTGATTCCAGCCTGCTTTTCCAGACAATTATTTTAGCAGAAGGTCCTAAAGAAGGCAAAAATAAGATAGTAATGTTTCAACAGCTCAATCAGAATGTGATCAAAACTCAAGAAGCTGCTATGTTGGCTGATGAATTTCTTGTAGAATTTACCTGAAGGAATATTTTCTTGATTATGGCATACCTTCTGTATTTCAGATCCCTGTTTCTCCCTCCCTTGCCAAAATGGTGGCACCTGTGAGCCCCACCCACTGGGGACTAGTTTCACCTGCAGCTGTCAGCCTGACTTCCAGGGCGCCCTCTGCCAAAACAGAAGTAAGTGACTAAGTTTTAGCCCCAGATATGTTTGTCGTGGTGTTGCTTGATGTCATTTCTCCGAAGTTACATATGTTGCTGGTTCATCCTATCAATTGCAGTGTTGAAGTGAAGATCATTTCTGTAAGTGTGATCAAGAGTGCAGGAGAGGGAACTCAAGTACGAGTATTACAGTGCTGTACATTTAGTCAAGTTCAGATCCAGGAGTACAAGAATGTTCAGTTTCTTGAGTTCAAGCAGGAGTCCTACAATAGAGGGTTTGCATGGCTGCCATCTTGGGGGCAAGTTCTTTTATTCAACAGGGTATGCACAGAGGAACGAAGGAACTGCCCTGCAAGCACAAAGCCTTCTATACTATAGTTTTCAGGCAAGTTTGTTTTCGCCTGTATGGTATCAAGCACAAATATGACCATCACTGGGTAATAGTCTGCCACTTTCTTAATTCTAATTCCGGCATTTGTTGTGCATATCTTTCATGGTAATTCGTTCTTTCCTTTTCAGATCCCTGTGCCTCCAATCCATGCCTTAATGGTGGTGCCTGTCAGGTCGGCATCGGTGGTACTTCCTATTTTTGTAACTGCCCAGTACAATTCTTGGGACCTCGCTGCCAGAATAGCGGTGAGTATTTCTCCATGATAAAGCTTTGACAGGAAGGGGTATTGTTCCTGTTTGCAGATGTATGGTTGAGCCCGTTAAACTACAGATTAGTTGATGGTTGGCCTCTGGTTTTTTCCACAGATCCTTGTCTTTCAAGGCCATGCCTTAATGGTGGTGTCTGCACTTCTGCAGCCCAAGGCTTGCTGTACTCTTGTACCTGCCCACTTCAGTACTTTGGCATGAACTGCGAAATCCTGGGTAAGCGTTCCAACCTTGTACAAGTCAAATGCTGTCTTTGTTCTTAACTGTTATGTTTGGGTATGAACTCACAAATACACTTGTTACCCAAATTTGATTTCCAATTTCCCCGGCCAAAAAATTAAAACCCAGTTTGCAATCCACTAGAGAAGTTTCAGAGCAAGTTTTATAACAAAAGGTTCGTTGTTCTGTTACTTGGAGTAAATGCATATTTTTTCCGACACGACAGATGCTTGCACCTCTAGTCCTTGTCTGAACGGTGGAGTCTGCAACCCATCCTCGTTTGGTTTTACCTGTACTTGTGCACCAGGCTTTAATGGAGTCAGGTGTACTAACTCCGGTATGTGGCCTTTCTCTAAGCTTGTTTCTCTGTACTCAGTGATACGACTGGCTTGTGCTGCAATGCTAAAGAATGCACTCCTGTGGTGCAACCGCTTTCATCTTACAAGTTCAGTTTCCCTCGTGACTTTAGCGAAAATTTACGAAGATGGAATATTTTATGGTTCTTGAGAACAGAAGTTTTTTGTTTCAGGCTTTTTGAAGTTAGAAAGTCAAGGTTGCTTTTGTGGAGGACATGACCACACAATTTTAGTATGTTTGTTTCATGTTACTGTGTGAACATAGTTCTTATCAATACTTTGGCTTCAACAAAATAGTTTTTATTGTTGTCATGAAATTGTTTTTATTCCACTCTTGCTGTTGATAATTCTGTCCTTCTAGATCCCTGCGGGCGCCAGCCGTGCCAAAACGGCGGTTCTTGCTTTGAGAGCACTGGCCCTACCGGCTTCTTCTGCCGTTGCACGTCCGGCTTCATTGGTGCCACCTGCCAATTTCCGGGTAACGTGGACTCCTTTCCAGCCGCTTTTAGGCAGTGCTTGCAAACAGATTTAGTTAGCCATCTTGACTTGTAGTTCTTACATTCACATGCTCATTGAAATTAGTTAGCTTTGTGATATTTAACTGCATAGATAGTTGACAATGTTACATTTGTTGAAGAGTTGATTCTAATTTTAGTTTAATTTGCTAGCTTTGGGTCCTTTTCTAGGTTCTCAATAGTTGCAGTTTTTATGAAAAACAGCATCATATTCTACAAGAAGAGTTTATCTAACTAGAATGTTTCTGTTGAAATCATGTGAGTTAATGCTCATTAATAAATGGAATTAATGTATATTTTACAGTAAGAAATTCTGACTTATTTTACAGTCTCAAAATAAACGAAGTTGGAACAGATTGAACTCAACTTGTAAATTTCAAATGGGGAAGTTTTAATATCCAAGTGGTGAATTTGAAGCATCTTTTACACAATCTTGGTGTCTTTTGAAGTAACTTCTACAAAGCTATTCGTTAATAATAACAGTCTGGTACCTTTTGCTTAGTGATTGAATACACAGATTTGATTTTGCAAGGACCCTGGACAAGATGGCTGCAGCCATTTAGATAGTTATCATAGTTTTAGACATTAACCCTAACCCGGCTATTTTCTCTGATCCGACAGACCTTTGCAGCTATAGTCCATGCCTGAATGGGGGGACGTGTAGCAATTTCCCCTTGGGCAGCGACTTTCTCTGCGTGTGCCCGCAGGGGTATTCTGGCAAGAGATGTGATGAATTTAGTAAGTTGCTTGGTGCCTTGCTGGTGCCCTCAATGTATACGCCTTGGTCTTTTAGAATGGCTTTTGGGCCACTGGCAATTTTTGCATTTTCCACCGAAACAAGATGAAAGTCATCTTGAAACGTATATGTTCAACTGTGTTTACTACGTACGTATGTTAAAAATTTCCCTTGAAATTGTTATTGGCTCCTTGCTTCCACTCAAGAGGGCAATGTGATACAAAATCAATCAGGTTGTGTCCATTTGTAGCCTAGATCTCTTTAAAAGATTTAAAAATCTTGTTAAAGATTTACAGGTTGACAGAAATACAGCCTATTTGTTGAAGGGAAAAGACTAATGAGTAAAAACGTTGGACCTTTTCCTGTGATGCAAGTTGAAAAATGAACTGCTTTGCACTAAATGTTTGTTTGCTGCTGAGACACTGTAATCATTCCAGCAACTTAAAAAAAGGCAAGTCAATAATTTAAAGACTGCCAGTAGTCCAAAAACATTTTAATTTCCATGGCTGTGCATGATGAGCTAGTAGCCTGTATAAGTTTTGTCTTGTTTTATACTATTGTAATGTTACCATTGTCATTGTCAGTGTTGCAACTTTGTCATTGTCAGTGTTGCAACTTTGCCATTGTCATTGTCAGTGTTGCAACTTTGTCATTGTCAGTGTTGCAACTTTGTCATTGTCAGTGTTGCAACTTTGTCATTGTCAGTGTTGCAACTTTGTCATTGTCAGTGTTGCAACTTTGCCATTGTCATTATCAGTGTTGCAACGTAGACATTGTCATTGTCAGTGTTGCAATGTAGACATTGTCATTGTCAGTGTTGCAACTTTGTCATTGTCAGTGTTGCAACTTTGCCATTGTCATTGTCAGTGTTGCAACTTTGCCATTGTCATTGTCAGTATTGCAGCGTAGACATTGTCATTGTCAGTGTTGCAATGTAGACATTGTCACTGTTGATGCATTGCCATAGTTATTGTCAATGTTGCTTGCTGGAAGTTTAGTTTGAGCATCTGTTAGAGCTGCAGATGATGTGACCTTTGACCTTTTGCCTGCGAACAATTAGTAAAATTAGTAAAGTAAAATGTTTCTTACTTTCTACCAAATGCGAACAATGTACACAAATACCTACACCTGTATGTGCATGCCTCTTTAGCGTTTGACCTCTCTCTTGGCGTGTTTGTTTTTTAGCATTCCATTTCCAATACGGGGGTCACATTGTCTTTTTTAAAACTCAAGTATGCAGTAATTACGCCATGCGTGTGTTGTGTTTGTAGCAATTTTAACAATTTTATATGGAACCGCATTTTATTTATTTGTGACTGAGGTAAGGTCACATGGTAAGTTGTTTTCTTTCATTTTAATCTGAACAGACTAACTCAAGTCTAGTTAGGTTTAGAAGTCCTAATTGAAGCTATCTAATGCAATCCAGGTAGGTTTTAATCTTACAGCTTGACTCACCTTGACTGAAATTTCCAGATTTTTTAAAGACTTTTATGACTCTGAAAAGTATGCAAGGTTCAGGTCTTAACTGCAGTCAGACCTTCATCCATATTCAGACTTGTTTCTTTTCCTTCCTTTTTGGCATCAAAGGACCTCAGATCTACTTCTATTTGTTGAAAAAAATTATATGAAGTGCCATCTTGCCTACAACCCAGTCTCTTATCATTGGAGTTCACTCATGCAAACACATGTACTACCAACTCAACCACACATATTTGACAAAAGCCGGAAACTAAAGACTAGTTCAGTTGCCACAGATTTCAACTTTCATCTGACAAAAGTCTATTTTCTTCCCAACTAAGACCCTTGTAGTTCCGACCCTTGCCTGAACGGTGGAACCTGCAACCGAGACAGCTTGGGCCAAGTGTACAGCTGCATTTGTCTCATTAGCTATGTCGGCACCAATTGCGAGTTTGGTAAGACTTTCTTACAGTGAGGCCACATCTGAATTTCACTTCAAGAGAATTAGGTTCAAATCTTACCCTGTTTGGGATATGCGGACACATTCTGACATCTGACACAGCCATAACTCGGGGGGAGGCTGTTTTGTACAAGCCTTTCCCCTTGATCTGAATGTGAAATGAAGTGTTGAGCTGTCTTTTTCTGCGTCTTCACAGTCCAGTACTTTTGAGGTTGTCATTGTCGCAGGGTTTTGAGATCTATTTATTTTCAATTCTTTATTTGCAAATGACACATGCATAGTTGAAAGCCACCAACTGTAGCCATTGCAGCCACTGTCCATGTATAATGTGGCTATCCATTGACAGTTGGTGTTCGAATAATTCACTATTCAAATATTTGACCTTCAATTTGATCAAACATTCATTCGTACCGACCAGTAGATTAGTGATGGTTTGTTCATCAACAATCTGCCGGTCAGTTTTTATACAAAATCAGTTGCAGTAACGCACACAGTTGTACATTATAATCAATATAATAGCTTCTCACATCTAGGAGTACCTCCTACCATGATTTAGCAAGATTTAAGAGACGGACTTGCCCTGTTGAAAATTTCTATTCCTTTTAAATTTTTTAATGAATAATTTAGTTATTGATTTCTGTCGCTTTTCATTTGAATCTGCTTGGAACAGGCCTCCATTGCGCAATTTTTTTCTAATTTAACACAAAACAAAATTCTCCCCTTAATCCTTTTCCTGAATTTTGTATTCAAATTCAGAAAATAATCCTCCAAAATTTTCAATAATCGATATTTGAATATTCGGCACAGCCCTATTAGAAGTGACCTTGGAGTAATGTTAAATGATAACGATGGTGATACTGCTGTAGTTCCAACCCTCTACAAGCGCAATCAAAATTCATGATTGCAGGCATTAGATAAGACAAGACGTCAATTGATATCATGCAGAGTGGCTTTTGGGGTTAGAGTTGAGCAATTCTAGAAGCGATTATATCAAATAAGACCTTTTTTTTTTCCTTGTTAGGACCAAACTGTTTCAGTCCCACCGATTTCCGCTGTGGAAGCGGGGAGTGTATTCCTGCCTCCCGCCAGTGTGATCAAAGCTTTGACTGTGCCGACAGCTCAGATGAAAACACCTGTTCACGCCAGTGCACCAGTCAGGAGTTCCGATGCACCAGTGGTACATGCATCAATATCCAGCTTGTCTGTAATGGGATCAATGAATGTCCTGATGGATTGGATGAACAGAACTGTGGTGAGTAGTTACCTGTCCTTAATTATTTCCCAACAGCGCTAGTATTCATGAGGACATTCAAAGTCTTTAACCCTAACCCTGCCAAACGCAGCACAGTGCGTCAGGGGTAATATCTGGTGCACTTTGATGCACTTGGCAATCAACAGCAGCCAAACAAACTGGCCATGTTAAGACATTGGGAGCTAGTCCCATTGAATAATGCCACTGTTGGATCTCGTGGTGACTGGCAACCACAGACTCCCAGGCTGTTTGGCCTTGGGGAGAGTTGAGCTGTTGGATCTTGTGATGACTGGCAACCACAGACTCCAACGCTGTTTGGCCTTTGGGAGAGTTGACCTGTTGGATCTGGTTACACTGGACAGGCAAGCCACATTGCAAAATGATGCAGACTGATGTGTCTAGCAGGGTTTCTAGCCAAAGTACCCTGAAGGGTGAGGGTCAATTTACGGGATGTATTTCTTCCAATAAATATTTGTGATTCATTTTCACCAATTGGAAAGTGGCCTAAGTTCTTGTTGCATTTAGTGTTTTGATTGAATCAATTATAAGTTGGTTCTCTTGACATTTCAACATTGTGTCTGTGTTCCATTTGTTTTGCAACAAGTATGAACAAGTCTTGCTAAGTTATTTGCTGTTAGCAAATGAAGGCTGTTTGCTTTCATTTGCTTCAAATTATTTGTTTTGTTCTCAATAAGAAAAATGCCCTGGAGTGTCTGTTGCCATTGTGCAAAGTTTGTTGTTTGTATTTCCCTGCGAGTCAAACATCTGGCATCATCTTGACATTTTCATGGATTTAAAACTTTACCCAGAAAAATGAAATTACAAATTCTTTGCCCATAATTCTTCCAGAACTTTCTACTTTTCTGCTAGTAAGTAAGGATGAGGGAGATACCTGTACTGACAGTACTTTTGTTATTGATGTGAAAATAAGCAAATCCTGAGTTGCACAGTTTTTCTCAGAGCACTGACTTTAGGTTCCTAAACAGCAGTGGAAGTGTGTATTTGCATCGTAAACATAACTGTGAGAAAACCCAAGGTGTAAGCTCTTTGTCAGATGTGTGGGAAAAATATTCTGCAAACAGCCTGGGGTTGATAAGTGCCTCTGTAATCACCCAAGTTCAGGCATTTTCAACTCAAATGGTAGACTGATTAGCAGCGTACATGTTGAAATTTTTTGTTGTGTACCTGAAAGTTTTAGGCAAACATTTTGAGTCCATTTACATCTGATTTATGACAGCTCATAATTTCATGAAATAAATTATCCTTTAATAAATGTGTTTTTTTTCCAAAATAGCTTTTCGTGGCAAATTTTCAAATATAGTGTTGAAAAAGAACTCAGTGAATTAAACTAATTACAAAACTTCAAAAAGATTTGTAACAGAACTTCAGTGTTGGTTGTTTGTTTGTTTTTGAATTTGAGCAAATTTAAAATTCTCAGATACATCGAAAAACATAATCAGGGTGGCTAGGAAGAATAGGGTGACACTTTCCTGCAATTCCTTTTTTTCTCTCTTTGCCTTTTCAAGTTGTCAATTTTTCAGGCAGCTTCAAATGTTTGGCAACAATCTAACCCTTTTTTTTCATTTCTTTTTTTTCATTAACTGATATAGAATGGATATTTACTACAATTTGTGGCCAACTTTTCAGGATTATTCCTGTATTGCACTCAACTGTGCAGACAGGTGCTGTTTTAGGAGGAGTTCAGTTTTTTCCAGGAAGTCCCTAAAAACCTCTGTCTGAGTCTCACTTGTTCATGGTTCTGGACATTGTTGAAGCCTGCCCTCTTGAATCTTTCAATTATACTCCCACGGTTTCCTAAATGTCAGCTCAGTTTACTATTCTGTTTCACTTCCCTTTCACTGGCCCCAAACCCAGGGTTAAGTCACTCATTTAAATATCAAAAGAGTAGGAACTGGAAAGAGGGCAAACACCAAACAGTTGGGTATCGTAAGTCAATCCCCCCCCGGCCTAGTGCTGAAATGGTATGATCCACATTTTTGTTGTTATCTTGTTGCTGCTCTCAAAGACAGAAAGGGTAGCTTTGGAGCACAATACAGGAGCCCGATAGGGGTGTTTTGGCAGGAATGCTTTAGCGGTTCAATGAGCATCAATGGTTCTGTCAAGGACTTGGTTTAGAGACTGTATATCAACTTTATCTTGTGGTTTCTGTTTGCTCTGGAGACCGTGGGAATTGCCGGCTAGATTTACTGACTGGATTACATGAAAAGTTTACTTAGAGTAATAAAAAAGAAAGCAATGATGCTGACAATTACTTCATCAGAGGAACAGTAATGCAGGATGATTGACTGAGTTACTGAATGAGTATTGATTGCTTGCTTGAAGTGGTAACCGTGACAGGCTTGTTGGCAGTTTTGAAATTACTGGACCTGTGGGAGAAAGTGGCATTGGAAATTGCTGGTGCAAAGGCGAAGTGAGTCTGCAATAAATGAGTGTATGCGTTCACCATGGTGAGCAAGACAACTTCAAGGCAAGAGGAACCTGTCTTATGACGGTGACAGCCTGGTCATAAGCCATGCCTCGGTCTGGCCCACCACTGCTGGTGTACCTCTGTCTGATTTACTCCCTGTCATGTGTTTCGACTGCAGCATCGCCGTGCGACTCAACGCCGTGTCTGAACAGCGGTGCGTGCATGAATTCTGGGACCAACTTCATCTGCAACTGTGCCCAGGGATGGACAGGGACAACATGCGACCAAGGTAAAGTCTCAGCATGAAAACTTGACTTGTATGCATAGCCACAAGAGGGGGCTATATTTAGTATTACTGGGTAGTGAACTAATGCCATTTTATTTTTACCAATATCTTTTGTCATAGTTACACCGAAAAGCAAGGTGTACGTTTCGTTCATATTCACTTCATCCTGTACAGCTTGGTGGTTCCGAGAACTTATAAAACAAGTTTTTTGAAGAATTTTTCTTTTTGATCTGTTAACAAAAGAACCCCAGTGATATATAAATTTGAGGGCTTTTCAATAATGGTTAAGTGCCATGTTCATGGTTGAGTGCGCATGCATGTTTAAGCTTTTGTCTGATTATAAACTTTACTTTTACTTTGTGAAAGGAAATTCTCTACATTTGTTGATTCTTTGTTCATGGTTCATTTGAACTGCAAATTTGATTGCGATATACTTTTCATAAAACTTGCAACTTCTGTTTTGAATCAAATTCGATCTCCGGTGTTACTCATGATTGCAAGTCTGTATTAAATTGAAAAATTGTGCTAAATGTGTTTACCCTTATCATTTTCTTGACATTGAATTCACGAGCCTTAATACATCTTATTTTCTGTAACATATTTCTTTGAAAACTCTCTAATGGCTCACTGTGAGGTATTGTTTGTATTGGAAATCAGTGAAGCGCAGACTCCATGATTAATACAAAAATTGAAAAAGTTCAAAATAAAAAGGTTTCATGGGAGGTGATTCAAATGGTCTAAATGCCCATGAGAGATTTTTTTCAGGTTATGGGACATGTCTTCTATTTGAAACAAGTTGTTATAGAAGTGGAACCGTCGTGGAAAAATATAAGAATTGGAAAGAATTACACATACATGATCAAAGGCAGGCAGTCATTGATTTGCCAGCAGATCATTGGATAACCAATCTGAAATTTACTGATGAAACGAGCAATGGTGTCAGTGATGACAATGTGTGTTACCATATTTTACACTTCAAGCAACTTCAAAATCATTTGTTTAATCCTTTTCAGACTGTCATTCAAAATATTCATACCTAAGAATGCAACAAATCAGCATAATGCACTGAATTGAAAACTTCCTCTAAATAACCATATTAGTTTTGGTTGTACTGCTCAATAATTATTTAAACTTGTGTTTGGCTTCCCTGAAGTGTGGAGTATCATGTACATCCATCCATGTAGGCTTCACCGTGCGTGACTCAAAATGCTGTTATTTTTCTTTTGGAAATGTTTGTGTTGCCAAAATTGACAGTCTTTTGAGTTTTCACTCCTGAGGTAACCATGTGTGTTTTGGCCAGAGGGCAAGATCTGTCTATTGAACCTCTTTGCAGAAAAATCTATACCAAGACGCTTTTCATTGAGAAATATCGCTGTGAGTCAACAAGGGGAGTTCACATGTATTTGTGACGTTCATTTGGTCTTCATAGAGAGACTGTAATTGCTTCCTTTGTATTCTTTTGTAACAAATAAGAATGAATCAATATTGTGTTTTAAGTTGCTTTTCATTGTTTCTTGAAACCCTAAGTCTCCTGAAAACATTTTTATGGGAGTCTCCCTGAATTGTCCCAAATCCTCTCCAGGAATGGAATTCACTGGCTTATTCTTTGGTCATATGGGGCATCCAGGTGTAATTTTAGCCTTTGTGTTGGTTGTACTTTCTCCATCCCACAGATGTCTCCAAGTTTGATTGATTTTGAAGGATCTTGGGGCATTAAAGTCATTCTAGGTTCTTGTCTCTTGTTGCTGAAATCCCGGACTCTTCCAACGTCCCTTACCCAGTTTGGAAGAATGTTGAAGGGTTTAGGACTGTGCAGGTTTGCCATGGCATTGGTGTTACTCAGCGTAAAGAGTATATTATTGGCTGTCAGCACAGAGTTGAACGTTACCTCAGAGGTTTCTAACAAAAAGTGCCCGGGGAGTTAAGGATAAATTTAGCTTGTTTTGTTCAAATTCAGTAGACAAATACATGTATGCTCAGTCCAGTATTGATATACGTGTATATGTCAACACGTATGGATGAGGAAATGGGTTTGGATATATCCCTACCACTGCATTGAAATTTTAAAGCATATGTTTTGGAAAGGTTTTAACAAAAAAGCAAAATATCACACAAAGCAGTTCCTAAATGTGACACATGACCTGTAAACCAGGTTAAAGTACAGAAATGTGGTTTGGAAACTTTTCATGTTCATGTTTTGGTCCATATTACAGTACATGTTTATTCACAGAAATTTTGACAGTTAAGGACATAAATTCACTGTGAGTTGAATTTATTTTCTTGGAAAGACTTGTACATGTACATGATAATGAGAAGCATCATTTTAGGGTTGGTTGGTCTCGACCACACGATGTATGATCCCATGTAATCCACTCTACTTTTACCTTCTCTAATTTGTTTTTGGTCCTTTTACTAATTGTTCCAAAAGTTACACAAGGAAAGCAACCGAATTGTTCTACATTTTTTGCCAAGTAATGGACTGTGTTATGTCTCCATTCCTGAAATTCCCTCTCGTCACAAGCTAGGGAGGGAGTGTCTGTGCTTTGTCCAAATAGACTCAGTGCTCACTTCTTTTGTAAGCTGAACAATGCAACCGACTCCATTACCTGTTCAACATCATTAATCATTTATGTTTGATCTTAATGAGTCAAATGTGCACAAGAGCTTATGCTGTGCTTGCAAGTGCCAAACACTGGATTTGCTTGTAGCGCTGGAAATTAAGAAGAAAAATCTGCACAGAGCTAGGATAGGCATCTACAGGCATCTACCGACAATTTCTCCAAAGACCAATTTTAAAATGTTCCAATTAAAATGCATAAATTTGTATGCATAGTGAATGGACTTGTAAAGAACTATTTGGAGAAGTTTTATCCTTACTTTATTGAATTCTCATAAAAGTTTTCTATGAAAACGTCTCTCCCACACCGTGGTACTAAAAAAAAACCATTACAAGTTACTCCCATATCAAATATCAGGGGTAAAAGAATGGCTGAACAGTGGATCAAGGAGTGTTTTGACCTTGTGACAGCAGTGATATTATTTCCTGTGTTGTCTTTTAATAACACCCAGCTTTGCTCAAAACTCAGCCTCCCCTTCCTACAGAGGCCGTACCCGCCATTTATACATGTAGGGCAACCCAGCATACACGTACATTGATTAAACCTTTTCATGTTCCCTGTGATACATCCTTGAGCCCAGTAGAGCTGTCTTTAATAATACGGTTCCTCAGAGTTTCTTTATGATAGGGCTTAACTTGCTGGAAATCAATTTTTAAATTCTTGATTGTCCTTGTGTTTGTATGTCATCACACCTTCCTGAATAGGCCTGCCTATGATTAAACATTTATAATTGGTAGGTTGTGAGGATGTTTTGAAAACCAAACTGTGGGTTGCTATTTGTGAATCAGCCAAGACAAATGTGAACACACACCTTAACTTTGCCATTGTTTGTGGGTGTACACCAATATATGTATGTACTTGAAAATTAGTAGCATGTTGCAGATACTTTAACAATTTCTTTATATACCAAAATACACTTAACTTATGAGTTGACAGCAGAACATACTGAAAATATGTGAGCGCATTTAGCAATAAACTGAAAATTAGTTGATCGCACTGTATGGGGAACATATTAAGTGCTGCAGTATCTTGCCTCTAGGCAAGTCAAGCACAGAGGGATCAGTTGAGGAATTTTAGTATTGAAATATAAACCTGTAAAAAATAGTTTCCTTTCAAAGCAGGTTGTCACAGTGGTTCTTTTGAAAGCATTGTTGAGAAGAGAGCCCAATTGTTTGAAGTCAGAGCCTTCAAGCCCCATTGAAAAACGCAACAAATCCTGGCCATGCATCAGTCGTCAATCCATCATACTGTCCAGTCCAGTTGTCCTGTGAACAGTGTACTGTTTGTGTGTTACTCATTGCACAGAGCCTGAAAGGAGTCACAAACTCTTGAACTTCAGGAAGAAGTTTCAAAAATCTGCCAAGAAAGTGTCCTCTGATGTCTAATTAGCAGCTCCATCAACGAGTTTGGAATAGGTGCATGAAATACAAATAATTTGTCTTTGAAAACGATTTGGCATATGAACCAAGCCTTGTTCATTTAGTCTGCTCACTAATGATACACAGAACTTAAGAAAACAAACATTCCTTCCTGTCTTATATTTTTCAAATGTACAACAAGATGATAAGTATGAAGTTAGCATATACATTTATCTCCATCTTCTACAAATGTGTCACGCTGCTGGCTGGTTTGAACCTCAATGCACAATCAATATTAGGATTAGAATGACTACAGCGTGTTGCACCATTTTTGGTTTCCACAACAATATATCAAGCAGATCTTGCTGTGTGAGATCGATAAGCCTGTATTTCTGTTGAGTGTCATTCCTTTATAGTGTTTGGGTGGGGGGAGTGTGCATCTGTGTGGCCGTAGTGCTACTGAACCGAAATAACTGGGGAATTCATTTATTTCAAGTAGAAGATGTGGAGAACCAGCCATGGGCATTGCTTAATAATTGGTGGTTTGCATCTTTTGGGAAAGATTTGTTTGTGTTCAGAAGGTCCTTTAGGCGAGGACTAAACCGTAAACTGAGATTGATACTCAAAGAATTTTCTTCTATTTTAGCCTAAAGAGAAAAAAAATTCATTTCTTGTCCCTGGTCAGCTTGAAAGTTGATATAGTGTTAGACAGTTTCAGGGTTTTTTTCATGGTAGTTTTACATGTTTAACAAGCACATATATGAAAACGGCAATGAGTTTTCCCAAGACCAAGCATAGGGACGATGCAAGGAACCTCATGTATCTGGCAAATGGAGGAAAGTAAGTGAAAACTTTCAGAAATTATTTCCATCAAGCAAGCAATTGTGGCTGAAGTTAGGTATAATCCCTGACCCTAAACATAAACAGAAATACAAACATGCCTTTAATTTTCGGAAAATGGAGTTGTCTTTTCCTTCAAGATTCATGTACCGGTACATGTACTTTTGGTTGTTCATTGGATAAACTAGCAATGAATGTTTTCCCATTGCCTCTGTACTGTCCATATTACAGAGATTTTACTAGATGGATTATAGTTCCTTTTCATCAGGAAATTTGTAAAGAAAATTTACATACATAAAAGAGCTACTTGCTTTGCCAGGGCATTTATGGCCGTTGGATGGCCGTTTATGCGAAGCATTTGAAGGCCTGGACATAACTTTCAGACGTTACAAAGTTCAGACACTGGCTTTGCCCATAGCAAAAATGGGTCACCAGCTAAAATGTCACATATTCATTATTTGTGACTGGTACTTTGTTATTTCTGGCTTAGCATGAACATTTGTTCAGGAATATTTTTGTTTAGCAGCTCTAGGCAGTAAGGAAATTTAACCATGGAGTATGATGTTTGTCAAAGTGGCATTAAAGAGCTTTGAAAAAGGAACGTTTCTCCACTTTTTGGGCCAAAGCCTTCAACAAACACAAATTTGTATTCATAAATTTACTTTCATTTTTAAAGCAACAAAAGCTTTCATTTATGGTTGAAGTGTTTGCTCTCAAAACAATGAAATCACCTAGACAAACTCTTCACAGTTCCAACACCATGAGAAGGATAGGCCGACATCCCGCTCCATTTGCCTTTCAAAACATGAGACCCGTGTAACAATGCAAAGATTACAGAGAAAATCTATATATTGGTCTTGTTGCACAATTGTAATAGCATCCTTTGTTAGAATCTCCAGTAAATCCAGCTTTGGAATTGGTTATTTAAAGTAAAGTGCCAAGTGATTAAAGGTTGCAGTTTCAACATAGTGTAGGAACTTGCTCATTGCATAATGCGTGCACGAGAGCTGATCAGTTAGTAGAAATGATTACTGTAAAAATTGGATTCAAGTGATTTTAAACTTCAGAATTCCCAAGTCAGTTTGATATGTCCAAATTCACTTCTGTAATAAAATCAAAATAGCATGAAAATTTTCGTGTTTTACGTCAAAGGGCCTTCTAGAATGTGCTATTTAAAAGCATAAGGGTACATGAAGGCAATCTGTTTGCTTGTAAATCAGACAGCTGTGCAAGTTTTATTCAGTATTTCAAAGGAAAACTTACCAAAAGAAAATGACCCTGTCACCATTCTGTGTGGAGCCGTCTTCGGCTGATGCATGACGTTGTTGATAGGCCGTTGCCCAACCATGACAATTGTGTTGCAATGACCTTGTTCTTTATGAACCTAGTACGGCCCCAACCACCCTACCTGCCTCTTCCTGTATCAACCCACACTAACCCAGCACTGTATAATAATTTATCAGGGGATAAATACAATGTAACACAAATGTTATACAAGTGCAAAAGGGTGATAATAAATCATTTTTGACATTGTTTCCAGTGGCGCCCAGAAACAACTTGCCTCCAACATTCCTCAATCAAATTATTTCTATCAACATACCAGAAGACACCTTGGCAGGTAAGCTGAATTTTTTTTTTCTTTTTCAGTTAGATTTTGTACTCATTCAATCAAAAATTTGTCACGTACATTTGCTAACCAGTGCATGTACATGTAGGTAGGCCACCTTATAAAGTGTAATGTGCAGAACATGTTTCTCAATGTCAATGGTGTGCAATTGGTTTAGTGGACACATATTTTGCTGAGACCTATGTGGAGCAAGATACATGTTGATTAAGAAAATTGTTAACTATTGGTTGACTAACTTTAAAGAATGCTCCTTAGTTAGTGACAGTTGGACCAGTCTGGTCCTCTACCCATGATCACACTGCTAATTACCAATTGCTGCAATACACAAAGGTTCAGGACTGTGAAGGCAAAGGATGACATTTGAGGACAGACCAACCTGAACTCTTCCTTGCTGAAGTACTAGAATGGAGATTCAAGCAACTTTACAAACCGGCCACTTGTAATTCCACATTCTTGATGACCAAATCAGCATCCTGCCTCACATTACTCTAACATTTCCAAACTGGCATCTATTCCTACAGGTACGATTATCTACACGCTGAATGCCGCTGACCCTGAAAATGACACTTTGACCTTTGGCCTGTCTGATTTTGTGGCCCAGCAGCTCTTTATTATCGTTCCCAATCCCAACGACCCCATGTCAGCATTCTTGACACTGAAGACTCAGCTTGACAGAGAGGTGAGGATTTTTTGTTCATGGGATGGCGATGTCATTTAATTAAAGCCTGAAGTGATACATTGTTTTATCCTTGTGTGACTCTTCCAATCTCTTTTCAACTCTTTTCTATGTGGAAAACTACTCCCCAAACCTTCAAATTCCTATTTATTCCAATTCTGGAGGAGGGAGTTCTTAAAATTTGCAATATTCCTGCCCTCTCTGGAACTCTTATTTCTTCTGTGGACTATAACAGTCCATTTATTTTCTGGAACTCGGTGAAACTTTGTCCATCCCTTGTGAAAACTTTTTTCAGACATCCATTGAATAATATTTGGTGTGACTATTGGGCAAGTTAAGGGAACTGCAACAAAGCTCGTGTAAATCCTCATTTTTCCGAATTGGTTCTTGTTCATTTTCAGGTTCAAGGCTTCTATTCATTTGTAGTTTTTGTCACAGATGGATCAAATGAGGTAAGGCTTTTCTCACTTTGTTTAATTACAGCTCTCTCCATGGTAAATGTATGTAATCAGTCCCAAATGTAAATGGACAACGCTAAAGCCATGTCCCAGTTACTTGGTTGTAGTCAGAACATCACAGACCGTCTATGGCAATGTGATGTAGCCACTCGGCAGTGGCTTCCTTGGGCATGTGTGCTATTCGCAGCCGTAGCCTGTCAATCCAGACATGCTTTCACCCTCCTTGTAATAAAGAATGCCCTCTTCAGGTCATGCTCCTGGGAAATGAAACTCAATCTCTCCTCTGGAAAAGTTCCTGTTTGTCAAACTCTGCCAACTCTCTCAGTTAGTAGACCTTTGCCATTGTGAATTTTGTTTCTTTCTGCAGGTTATTCATAATGGCAATTTACTGTTGTCGGATATCAATGACAACCCACCGATGTTTACCAACCTTCCCAACACAACCACTGTCTTCGAGAATGCTATAAACGGGCCCACCATTTTTGATGTGAATGCAGTAGATCCAGACTCGGGACTTGGCGGCATTGTCACTTACAGCATCACCTCAGTCAGTGGGGTACATGTGGTATTATCTACTTTTATACAGGACCCAATGCATTAGAGAGCTAAATATCACACACCGAGCAAGTTTAATCTGGTGGGAACCATTTTGAACTTGGAACCAACTTTTCAAGGGAAAAATGTAACACTAGCCCTAACAGACCTCAATCCTTCACCTGTTGGAGGACTGTTAGGGTTGAAGAGAACTGGGTGCACTCCTCTACCAACTCTGTTGGTAACTGATATTCATCCGCCCCTTGCCCCACCCTCCCTTGCTTTAAGCACCCAGCTCCACCCCTCCCCTTCCTTTGCAGATACGTCACAAGGCCATATGTGACCTGCTCTACGAACTAAAAGTGTTTCAGCAATCGGAATCCTTAACATTTTAACATCTACACAACATCCATTTTCATTGTACCAAACTGAGTGACGCATCAACAGAAAGAGCTCAAATTCCTCAATCTAATACAAAGTAAAACTCCAAAGTAGCTCTGGTGACCTATGACTCCTTTTTGCAGTTTGTGCAGAGTTTCAGAGACTGAAATTTACAATCCTGATACCTTTACATTAACTTTCAGGGCTCTGATGCACTATTTTCCATCAACCAGTTCTCGGGCGTAGTAATCTTGACAGGTCCCCTGGACTATGAGACCAACCAAGTCTACTCTCTAGACATTCAGGCTTTGGTAAGTCTACCAACTTCATCATTTTGGAGTCACAGTAATGGTTTATACATGTAAGTGTGAGGAACTGTGGAGTGCTATTTTATCTTGGCTTGTCAGAATGGTTAATCCTGGCATTTTTAATCATTGGGAGACTGTTGTAATTGACACAGGTGGTTTCTGAGCAAAAGTGAATTTTTGTAAAACTAGCAACGTGCACCAAACTCATTGATATTGCAGGCCTACGTTTGGGACACTTTACGTCTTAATATTTTCACGAACCTTTGACAATAAGCAGGTGATACATCTAAAACTTAAACTTTGAGTCCATCACAAGTCCATTACAAGTCTATCACAAGTCTATCGTAAGTCAAATATTCTTAAGGCAATTCACAAGTTGTTCAAATGAGTTATGACAAAATGTTCAAATGAGCTGTGACAGAAGCATTCTTTTGTCAATGTTCACCGTGTTACTTATGGCTGGCCTTGTGAAGGGACTTGTGAAAGGACTTGTGATTGAACTTGTGAAGGGATTTGTGAAGGGACTTGTGACTGGAGTTGTTAAGGGACTTGTGAAAGGACTTGCAAAGGGACTTGTGACTGGACTTGTGAAGGGACTTGTGAAAGGACTTGTGACTGGAGTTGTTAAGGGACTTGTGGAAGGACTTGTGATTGAACTTGTGAAGGGATTTGTGAAAGGACTTGTGAAGGGACTTGTGACTGGAGTTGTTAAGGGACTTGTGAAAGGACTTGNGGACTTGTGAAGGTACTTGTGACTGGACTTGCTAAGGGACTTGTGACTGGACTTGTTAAGGGACTTGTGACTGGACTTGTGAAGGGACTTGTGACTGGACTTTTGAAGGGACTTGTGAAAGGACTTGTGACTGGACTTGTGAATGGACTTATGAAGGGACTTGTGAAAGGACTTGTGACTGGACTTGTGAAGGGACTTGTGATGGACTTGTGAAGGACTTGTGAAGGGACTTGTGAAAGGACTTGTGGTGGACTAGAATACAACACTGCTTGTTACATTGTCTCTAAAATACAAACAATCTACTGATCTCATTGATTTTGTTCCTGCACTGAATATTTCTTGGTATTTTTCAACTCTTGTTACTGTCATGAAATAAACTCTATAAGGATGGAACTTTACCACATGTTCAGGTTGGTAAATTGTAAGTTTGCCATGTATTGGGATGTGGTGATAAACAGCCAACTGTGACCTCTCTTGCATTATTGTTTTATTTGAAGTTTGGTTCGGTTGTCAGGAATGTCATTTGTTTGTTGCTTTGTGAACTCTTTCTTGTAAATATCTGCAACCTTTTTCTCCACATGTGAGTTCTAACCCAAAGTGTTTGTTTCCTGGCACTAATATGACGTCATTCTGGCCAAGAGAGGAGATTGAGATATTTTGAAGTGGTATTTGTAATGAAACTCATCAAGTAATTATTAACTAATTAATTAACTATTTCCTTTTTCCCCTTTTACTAACATTGAGTGGCACTTTGTGATGTTTGCTAATGAATGTCAAGAGAGGGCATCTTCTTCTCTTGTCAGTTGAAAAGCAAAGGAAGATCTTAGTTCTACTGACAGACTGGAAAGCATGGGGTCAAATGTTTGGGGCATGGAACCCCCTCTCCCTTTTTTTTCAATTTTTCTACCAACTCTTTTGGAATTTGTCATGTGATTTCTTGTGGACATCCAACTTTAATTTCATAAGATTTCAATACAACATTCTTCCAACAAAGTGGCCTCTGAAAATTTTAAAATTAATTATGCCACCCAAACAGTTCAGTTGCAAACAATCTTGCAAAATATTAATAACCATATGTGTTAGTACATGATATTGCCTCTACTTGGCCCAAGGGTTTGCAGACTTTCAAAGAATGGGCCTCTCTAATTAAGGTTGTGTCTTAAACAGGCTATCTGAGCTATTGTTACAGCTGTCTGGGTATATGGAGTAAAGACCTAGATCTAGCTGGCTGCAGACAACAGATTTGGATGCAGCCTCAGTTTGAAAAGTGTGCTTGTCTGCTTTCACTGGTATCCAGTCATGTTGTTTATACACTTCTCTGTGCACCAACAGGATTTGGGAAACAACAGCCTGAGAACTACTAGTACGCTGACAGTACAAGTCCTGGATGTGCAGGATACCGGACCAGTGTTCATCAATACGCCATATGACAGAACCATCAATGAAGGAACACCTCTGGTTGGTATATTTATTGAGAGAAAATGCCTGATGTATTAAAGGAAACCAAAACAAGCCATTCAAAAACAGGTTGCTTAATTAAAAGGTGTACCTTAAAGAAATGATTTCTCAAAGTAAAAAAGACAGTCTTCGACCAACATGCATAGTGGATTATAATGGATGGAAAAAATACGAAATGGCTCAAAAACAGGCCAGAGTTTGTCAAAAATTATGACAAGGTCATGTGGCATTTTAACATTGTCTAAGTGATTTTAGTGATCTACTTGGCCCGTAGGTAAAGTTGTCAAAGTGAATATGAAACCATACGGAACGTGGAATAAATCTATACTTAAAGCATATCCTCGTACGTTGTTTACCACGTGGATTCTTGTGCTCCGATGGAAAAATAGGTTGAGTCTGTGTTTTCTTTCCGGATAAAAAAATTCAGGCTGGATACAGATGTTGATTTCTGTTATTGCAATGATTATGTTGTTCTACTCTGATTTCATTTGAGTCCTTTGCAATCCATGTTTGAGTTTGTCTTTTTTTCCCTGTAGAACACGGTTGTGGTGACTGTGCTAGCAGTGGATCAAGATACTATCAATGCAAATAATGTCACCTATGAAATCCTTGGAGGTGAGAAATTCTTTGGACAAAATGGAGTTGAGAGTGCTTTTTTGCCGGACTTAAGACCAAGTCAGACTGGCGTCTCTGTCCAGTCTGCCTTCCCTTCAACCTGTGCAAAGTATTTGGTCGTCGTGCCTGACAGCTCGCATAACCCTAATAAGGCAACGTCATTTGGTAGCCTTTATTGTACAACATTTGTCATATGTCACCAGTCAGTAAGTCTGACTTGACGTATAAGCCAATCAGACCCCTGTCGGCGATATGTAGTTGTTCATAATTGCACACGATCTTGCATAATTTGTATAATTTCCACCAATCAAAGTAATCAGACTTGAAATTTCCACCAATCATAGTAGTCAGACTTAGAATTCCAAGAGAAACTTCTTGTGTAGTTAGACTTAAATGACAGAGGATTAACTTAAGAGTGACTTGTGTCTGTGTCATGTTGCAGGAAATCTGGGGTCGTTCTTTAGGGTGGATAGTGTCACTGGGGAAGTCATTTTGGTGCGGGAATTAGACCGGGAGAACATCAACACACCAGCAGCTGTAGAATTGATTGTCAGGGTAAGAACGGTACTGAGTTCATCTGTTGTTACACTTGCAGGCTTTTGCCATGGATAAATATTATGTTGTGTTCTTTGAATCCGTAATATCAAATGTTATCCATCCTCCTGTATGAAATTCACAAAGTGTCTACCTCAGAACTACTTTTACTTTTCCTTTGTGTCCCTAGTTGAACTAAAAAACATCGTTTGTGGAGCTGAATCGCAGAAACTATTTCTCATCATGTTTTCTTGCTGAGCAGAATTTACTTTAGAAACAAGTCAAAAGTTAAAGTGTCAAAAGCTGCAGTGTATATGCATCGCTTTACATTTTTAGCTGGTAACCTGTTGTGACTATTTCGATAAACTTTGAGCTAAGCACCTTTATGAAATGGGTCACTGGTTGTAAGAACAGAACTGTGAGTTTTCTTCTTTTTATTTTAGATTTTCTCACTTGAAAAGTTGGTTCCAAGTTCAAACTGGTTGCCACCAGATCTTATACTTGCTTGCTTTATAATGCTTGGCTCTGAACAGGCTATAGAGATTGGTTCCAATGGTGCAGCATCTGTCATTGAAACATTTATCATCACTATCAATGACATTGATGACGAATCACCTGTGTTCAACCAATCAACGTACACTGTCAGTGTGTCTGAGGCTGAAACCCCAGGATTTGTATTGCCCGTTGGAATTGAAGTCAGCGATGGTGAAATTGTGAGTATTATATAAAGGGGTTTTCGTGAATAAGTTTGAAGATTCTGATGTGACTTATTTTAGAGGATTCAGGAGAGATTCTCCCCGTGAATTCTGGAGGGTAGAATTAATATGTTATACTTTGATTTGTGTGTTTCAGGTGATCCAGGGTAATTTCCGCATCACCCTCCAAAATTTCAACATCGTGCCCTTCTCCATTTCCCCCTCCTCGGCAGTGGACCAGGCCATTGTAACGCTGACCCTGATTCGTCCATTGGATTATGAGAACACCCGGAGCTATGACTTACAGGTACATGTAGCAGACCCACCTGAGAAGTTTGAGAAGTGTTTTTTTTTTTTTTCTAAGGCACTAATTCGTGCTTGGTGTGAAGAGCAAAGTTTGAACACAAGGTGCACCAACCAAACACACAAACCCTTCTGAAAAGAGGTCGTTTGTGTATGGTCCCATCTGCATTTGGCACAAAATCCTACGTTGGTTAGAAGGTGTTTTGGTCGACCAGTGAGAATTCAGCAAATATTTTTGAATGTGGGACAAGCTGATTTTTGTGCATGTCGTTAAAGTGCAGTAGGGTGGACCGAAATTCCTCCACAAAATTTTCCTCGAGGTACTCTGAGCAATTGTCTGCTATATGTATTAGATCAATTATCTGACATTGTTCAACTAACAAATGCAATGTTTCAAGATAAAATGACTCATTTTTCCATTTTGAAATTCCCTTGATATCTCACAGCTTATGGCAGAAGATACAGCGATCTCCACTGCTACAGTGGTTGTCACGGTGATAGATGTCAATGATAATGATCCTATTTTTACTCATGGTGAGTGCTTTCAGCCTCCATTTTCATAAGGAGCTGGCAGTATATTTTCAGGACATTCCTGGTCCTTTCTTGAGAATTCCTTTTGAGCAAAGCACTTTCAAAGACACTCTTGGCCTGACAGTCTCTTCCAGGGAAATCTTACATCCACATTCTGTTGGCACAGTTGCCATTGCATGTCTCAGGTTAGGGTTTGAAATACATCTTTAAAATGACAAGGCATTATCGAGATTTTGTGCAATACTTGTAAGAAGGAAAAGTATATTAAAAATAACTTTGGTGTATATATTTGAAAAATTGGCCAAACTTTTATTTCCTGCCATTTTATCCTTTTAAAGGCACTCAAACGATTGCCCTGGAGGAAGGTTCGCCGATGGGCACTGTGATTACCTCGGTAACTGTGACTGATGCAGATGAAGGCATCAATGCCAATACAGAGTTCAACATCATTGCTGGAAATCAAGCGGTATGTGATGGACTGTACAGATATGGAATATTGGCATTTGATAATTAGAAGTCAAAACGTTGTTCCATTATTTTTGTGCAGTTTACTGACAATTATGTACAGTATGATAGTATGTTGTGGTCGAGTCCTTTACAAGTCATTCAGTCTTAACCCTAACCCTCCTCAGTCCTCCAACAGGTGAAGGATTGAGGAGAGTTAGGGTTTTAAACCAGTATACAAGCTATCCAAATCCCACTGTTCACCTCATTACTTATGACTGTTTTTGTTAAAGGACTTGTGACTGGACTTGTTTAGGGACTTGGGATAGACTTGGGAATGATCAGTCAGTTGATTTGTGTGACCCATTCAACATAATAACTGTGTTTTTGCTTCTCAGGGTTTGTTTGCCATAAACACGATCACAGGTGTGATCACAACGACATCAGTTATTGACTTTGAGAATTCAGCCAGCACATACACTCTGACCATTGAGGCACGGAACACGCAGCCTGCAGTTTCCCCAGCGTAAGTCCAGCTAAATTAATTTTAGTCAGTGCTACAGTTTGCATTCATGTTTTTGCATCTTGAAACAAAACCAAATTTTAAAAATCGACTACATTAATGAGGTCATTTGGCTCGTTTCAAACTGTATAAATGTAATAATTAATGTTGATAAAAGACAGTCCAATGGCATTTATTCTCAAATTTTGGTCACTTGTAGATGTATTTTCTGGACATTTCAAACTTTTCTGTCTTAAGTTTATAGGAAATAATTGATATCTGAAAATTTGGCTGTTCTTTTTCTAGTGATGGAGTCAGCGAAGTGACTGTTCTAGTGACCATTACAGACATCAACGACAGCCCACCAGTATTCCAACAGCCTAACTACCTAATACAGATCATCGAGGTAAGAACCAACCTTCAGGAATTATAGTCATAACTTTTGAAATGGGTCTGAATAATACACAAAATCAAAAAGATGTTTTCAGATTTGTTGACTTCAATTTGCATCTCGATTGCATGGATTGAGTTTCTGAGAATTTCTATTCACAAATCTTAGACAGGTGTCTTTACACCTGCAGAAAACATTTACATTCACATTTGCTGTTGTAGGCTTTTAAGGTACAAAGTGACAGAAATGTTAAAGTCACAGTGAGTGTTTGGTGCAGTGAATCCTCAAATCTCAACTAAGTCTCTCCTTTTTTTACTTTTGTCCCCTTCAAATCAGTTTCCATATATGGTAAGATGATTATCGAAATTCTCTGATTTATAAACCAACATGTTTGTTGCACTTGCTGACGACACCTCCCACCTCCAAACCCTACTCCTCCCCCAGAAAATCCTGTAATACTTTTTGTATGATAACCCTAAAAGTAATGCATTTTGGAAACAGCATATCAAACAAATCACAAACAAGTAAACCTCCTCAGCACTTGCCTTTCTTCTACCAAAAGTGATTTATCATTCTAAATTCCACTTTTTATAGGCCAAGGACTCATTACCGACACATTAACACAAATATGTGATCAGCAGATAATGAATTTGTGTTATTCTCTGTGGAGAACAATGGTATTTGGCGGTAAAATAACCCCTCAAACTAACAGAAGAAGAAACTGTTACGACAGCTTAACATTTCCCCTCCTTGAAGAGGGTATAAAGTTTCCTTCATTGAACATTTAACAGGTGTTTAACCAAGAAAGTAACAAAGTTGAGTATTACATAACCCCTTTTTTGTCTACTTGGTGAGCAGCCCATGCCACTTTGAATAAATGTATCATGTTGTTGTGAACTGAGTGACCAAAAACAGCACAGTTGCCCACTTGTTTTGGATGGAAACAGTCAGTGGTCAACTAAGTTGAAGATGTGAGATAGACAGTTCCAAAGATAAAGGACACAGATCAGTCATGCAGCTTTGGAATGCTGCGGATGTGGCTTTACGTGTGACACACTGTGTACGTGCCATTGGTTCCAAAGATATATATTATGCATACATATATTATGCACTGATTCACGTGTGCACTTTGCATGGAGTGTAGGCGACCATTTTTCATTTACACTTGCACTGCCTACTGTATCCCCACGAGAGAAAGCCTACTTGGATTGATTAACCTATGCTGCTCATGGGCACCTCACATCATAATGTATGAGCAACAGTTCTGTGTTGCTGCCTAGGGCAGACGTGTAAGTCTATACTTTCCCTGGTCGCAACAAGGGATTAGTTCAAAGAATTGAAAGTCAAAAAAGTTTGAAATCGTCTCATGGCCTACAGTAGGATTTTTCATTGAAATTTTTGGATTCTGTATACCCAAATCAGGAGTCTTTGAAGCAGAAAATGCACAGTGCGTCAGTGTTGCCTGGATATCAATGAGCACATCTTTCCACTGCAACCTGTGGTCTGTCTTGACTCCTTTAGCAATCTTGGAGACCTTAAGACTTACTCCACATTTCAAGCTGAACGCCATTCACAATTCTACTCCACTTCTTTGCTGACAGCTCTCAGATACCGGACTGACCATTGGTCGAGTGATAGCCAATGATGCTGACTCAGGGCCAGCTGGTGAGGTAACCTACACTATCCTCAGCGGCAATGACAACGGTAGGCAGGATTGATCATTATCAATTATCATAGGATGTTAATTTAATGTTCAGAATGACAGCTCAAGCACCGAGCACAAAATCAGAACTCCTGAATCTTATGGCTAGGGCCAGGTTTAGTCATGACAGAGCTGTCCAGTTCATAAGTGGGGCATCACTAGAGTTTAAACCACACCCACTGCACATAGAGTTGCATGGAACTGGAAGTTAATGGCGCAGCTTTAGTGTTGGTCCAATGTAAGCCTGTAAGCAGTGGCATGTCCCCGTGTACGACAAGTCACTTTACAAACCCAGATAGATCTGGAATCTTGTGTGATTTCGTATCTCAAGAGTAACCATAGGTACATTTGATTTCTCCCCAACTAGGCACATTCCTAGTGGATCCCAACAGTGGAAACATCATCCTGCTTCAACCTCTTGACCGGGAAACCGTTTCCTTCTACAACATCACTGTCCAAGCCCAGGATAGAGCAGCGCCTCCACTTAGTGCCACAACCTACGTCATTGTCGAAGTGCGTGATTTCAATGACAATGATCCACAGTGGATCAGAGACCGTTACACTGCTTCGGTGGTGGAAGGGCAGCCTGCAAACACATTTGTTATCCAGGTACACTTTTTATTTTTGCATTATTCTGGTCTTGGATATAAATGCCAGAAGCCAAATGACAAAACAGGTTCTCAACCTTTTTTTTACCGCAAATGGTCTCTTAAAAGTCAATTTTTAATCTTACATCAATTACAATTCTGAGCCCTTCAAGGCTCGTTCAAACTTGAAACTTTTCAAAGCAGGAACACATCAAGTCAGATTTTTTACTATTTTGGCCCAGACTTGCATATGTAATCAAATAAACTCACAGAGACAAGATAACAATCTTTCTTCGATGGTGCAGGATACCAGCCAAACAATTCTTATGGCATAGCATTCGTTGGTTCCTTGTAGGTAATGGCTCAGGATGCTGACATTGGCCGGAATGCATTGCTTAGATATGAGCTGGCACAGCTCAGTCAGTATCTGTATATTAACCTGACCACCGGTCAGATATTCACCAGTATGCCACTGGATCGAGAACAGACAGAAACTATCGAGGTCAACGTGCGCGTGCGAGATGGTAAGTTCCTCTGAATCAAGTTTTGGAGGAAAGTTTGGTTTGCCTTTGCCTTTGTCAAGTTTGAATGCATTCTGCTGGTGTAGGGGCATGGAAGGGTCCAAACTTTTTTCATACAAGTAGAAGTTCATGACTTTGCAAGAGAATGGAAGTTCTGCCCTGTTTATGAGTATTGTGTTATTGCTGAGTATTTTGACGCAAAACTCAGAAATTGGCTGATTGGGGGAAAAATCATGCCCCTCTGTTTTTGTGCTTGCTTTTAGATGGTGACCCACGGCGCTTCTCAAGCCAGCTAGCTGTGGTCACAGTGACTGTACTAGATATCAATGACACACCACCAACCTTCGCTGGTACCCCGTATAGGTTTGAGGTGGCAGAGAATGAAAGAGCTGGAACATTTGTTGGCCAGGTTTGGTTTTTCTCTCTTTTTTATTAACATTTTTGGCTCTGATAGATGGCCAAAGTTTTTCACTAAAACTCCAGACAAGGAAAAAGTATGATTAATAATAAGCCAAGCACTCAATGTTCTAAAACCAATAGGGAAGTTTGAATCTCTCCCAAAACCAACTTATCAGCAAAACTGTGGCCCTTTTCTCTTTTCCTTTAAAATCATTACAACTGTGTACATAATCTAAAAAAAACCAAGATGCTCAACTTTGGTAAACCAAAGATCTTTATACTCCGTCCATGTTGAAAGCCCATCATGTGTTGATAAGCAACATTTCTTAGGTCACGTTTTAACTAAGCAGATAATGTGCTATTGTGGAAGCTATTTGTATTTATGCAGAAATTAGAAAATGCGCTCTAATTGTTTTTGTGACAGGTGACAGCAGCTGATCCTGACAGTATTGGTACCCTGACGTACTCCTTCGCATTCCCACAAACCCAATTCCTGATCGACCCCACCATGGGCACCATCACAACTATTAACTCGCTCGACCGAGAACAGCAAGACCAATACAACATCCAAGTTAATGTCACAGACGGGACATTTGAGACCACGACCGACGTCCTGATCGTGGTTACAGATGTTAACGACAACCAGCCAGTGTTCAGCCAGGTCTTGTACGAAGTTACCGTTGCTGAAAACACGCCAGCCAGGATTATACTCAACCTCATGGCTAATGATTCAGATATTGGTAAAAACTGTAAAAGGTTTATCATCAAATATTAAAATCGTGTGAAAATTGAACAGTTTTACTTTATATTAATTGTTGACAAAACATGGTTCTTTCTAGAATTCAACCCTGTGATCTCCAGAAGGCCACGTTATTGCTTTACCAATTGAGCTCTCCAGCCCTACAATCATTTTTTGTTCATTTTGTTACGCCTTTAAACAGATGTTGATTTTTTTCAGTGCACTGAGGGTATTGTAAAATTAGGCTGAATCATGCACGAAGGTCTAGGTTTTCATCAGTAACAGATAAGTACATACTGACTACAGACATCTAGACAAGGTTGGAGCTATATGCATATTGCTCTTATGACCTATGTACAATTAATTATCATCAAATTTGCCTTTCAGGCCTGAACAGTGACATCATTTACCAGTTTGACCCGTCCAGCAACACTCCTATTGGACCCTTCCTTCTGGACCGGCTGACTGGTGAACTGCGGACTACCAGCTCTTTAGACAGGGAGACTCAGGATTCTTACACCTTGGTAGTCAATGCCATTGACCGGGAGGGCGGGTCCGGCAGTCTTCAGGCGGTAGCCACTGTGCTTGTCACTGTGACTGACGTCAATGACAACAGGCCCGTCTTTGAATTCCAGAACTATGCTGAATCTGTAGCGGAGGACGCAGCTCAGGGACAGCAGATTGTAACGGTTGGTAGAGATTACAGAGTGGTTCAAATACACTGCGGCTGTACCCATTCAGCTGAAAATTTGCTGCTTGCTCTGTACATCCCTTCTGTGCTCTAGCAATTTGCACATGATCGTTGTTTCTTGTAGATAACAGAACCCTTTAATGTATAATAATAAATAGTAATAATGTAATGAATAATACAGTATTCACCCCAAAAAAACATATTCCTATTTTGTCTTTTTTGTTTTGCTGTCAGTGACTCATTAATCACAATTGTTCCAGGTCTCAAGTTTTGATTTCGTCTTTCACCCTTTTTCCAAACAGGTCCGAGCAACGGATGGAGACACTGGTGACAATGCTGTCATCCTCTATCGCATTATCCAAGGCAACGGTAACAATAACTTCCAGATCAATTCTAGCACCGGTGTTATCTCCCGCGGCCCTACCCCACTGGACAGGGAAACCGAAGACTCCTACTTGCTGACAGTGGAGGCGTACAATGATGGAGACCTGCCCCCTAGAAATACTGGTACGTGTTGTCAAAGGTCGATGCATGAGGGAGATGGATTTAGATGGAATTCATTGGACACAGGGTGCTGTTCAAATTAAACAGGACTGGTTAACATTCCAATGATGGTGGTCAAGTTCAGAGTGGCCTTCTTTTTTTTGAAAGCCAATGAATTTTATGAACATTTTTGATCCTGATTAAATGGTCAGGGTTTCAAATCCGACCACTGGTCATATGCTGTGTCCTTAAGCAAGCCACTTTACTTTAATGTGCCTCTCTCCACCCAAAGTGTAAATCAGTTTTCGCATTAAGGGAAGTAATCTGCAGCGGACTAGTTAATGTATTTTGTTGTGGTGGACTTCACAGCGACTGTGACCATCACAGTCACTGACGTTAACGATGAAGCACCACGCTTCACCCAGGATGTCTACCTGAAGCCCGACCTGCTAGAGACTGCTGAAGCAGGTACCGTTGTGGTGACAGTGTCAGCCAATGACCCGGACCTGGGCCAAGGTGGGGAGATCCAATACAGCATCACAGGCGGTAAGTGCTGACCCTGAAGGAGCATTTCTTCTCTCTCCTAGTTTGCTCATTCCCGGGCACTTGAGGGCGCTATACATGAAATTTCATCAATGTGCTTATTTACGGAGCACTGTTGGTCATTTGTCTTCCCGAGAGAGTAAGCACAATTCAACAACACAGGCAAGGAGCACTCACTCTTAAACAGCTGTTCTCGATTCTAGTTCCCGTATTCCTGATCACTTGAGGGCACTATGTAATAAAACATAGTAGAACTTTCCATCGTACCAACATTAATGCAAGACACATCCAAAGGAAACTGAAGACTTGCACCTTACCTTTGGTATCTCATCCATTTTCCAATTCCAGGCAATGAAGGCAACTACTTCGTAATCGATTCCTACTCTGGTAGGATCACGGTGCTCAGTACCCTGCCGGATTATTCCATCCAGTCCACCTACAACCTGACGGTGACAGCACAAGACCAAGCCCAACCCTTCCACACGGCCACGGCCACAGTCCGGGTCCTACTGGTGGATGCGCAAGACGACCCACCCGAGTTCACCATGGCCCGCTATGAGGTCAATCTGACCGAAAACGTTGGGGAAGGGTATCCCTTCTTGCAAGTAAGTGTCAGTGTGGCATTCCAGTTCTTAACCCAACTCAAACACTCTCCCTCCACACTTCCTCAAACCGTCAACATCCTCCTCTCTGCAGAAGACGAATGGCGCATTCTTTATTCTTAAATTCCTAAGAGTATCTAACCACTTTGAAAGTGCTAGTGGCTTAGCTCTACCTACAACATCCTCCAAAACTACTTGGCGGATTTTGAAGGATCTAGGAGGGATTGGAATAAGTTGTAATTCTTAGAGTGTCTTACTGTGTCCTTGATCCCTCAGGGATGATGTGAGATGTACCAAGATTCTACCCATTTGGAAAAGCATCGTTCACGTAGTCGTAAACTGGAAATTTTTTGAGAAGCTCAAAATGGTTGAAGTTGTCAATTAGGTGAACTAGTTCTTCCTGTTCTAGACAAATTGCCTTATTCCAAAAATTTTTATGAATGGACAGCAAACAAAAATTAACAAGTGTAGACAGGCTTCGTTCCTCCCTTACGCTGTGTTTGAAATGGGCTTGCAGAACAACGGCTAAGTCTATTGTCCGCCCATCTCTGTGTATTTCCAATGGGGTGAAGACCTAGACCTAGCTCTAGACAACAGATACGGATGCAGCCTTAGACATACACCATGAATGTCATGAGTATTCTTTGTACACACATTTTGTGTTATGTCTTACAGGTTGTTGCCCAAGTACCAGGTAAGCCCAATGCTATGGTGACCTACAGTCTGGAACCCAATGTCAACCCAACCATTCTCCAAATGTTTGACGTCGACCCTGTAACGGTGAGTTTGTATCAGCTGCGCACGCAGTCTGGCCTTCTTCCATTGAGGAAATGTCTCACAACTTTGAAAAATGTTAGCTGTGTATGAGTTCACTTTTCAGCCATTATTAGAAATAACGTGACATCTGGTTAATGGATTGTTCATCATGTGACATGAATTATTCATCCTAATTCTCCTGGCACTGCCTCACTGTCAAGGAAATGGAACATACCAAGGGTGAATGAATAAATGTGGTTCAAAGCGCAAAATAGGTGACATGGGGATTAATCAGGTGTACAGACTGAATAATGAATGTTTTATATTTGTGCAGAGGAGAGAATAATTTCAGTTGATGACTGATATTCCATTCCATTCAGCTCTTGAAAGACCAGCCAGCAGTGTACTGCTCTCAGTGAATGATGCTTAATTCAGTTGTGTGCCACGCTAATTTCATTAACCGTATCGATCTCAAACCAGCCGAACTCCAACCCCAGGGTTTGTTGGAATCTGTTAGGATGAGTGCTGCACTGGTATACTGGCTGTGGTTTGTTTGGGATTAGGTTGCCAGTAAATCACCCTAAGGAGTTAAAGGTTAAGCTTTAAGCCCAAGATTGATAGCAGTTAGTAATAGCATGTTTTCAAGATTACCTGTGCGATGATGTTTCATCCAAGCTGTGTTTATTTTTTGTTTTGGTGCAGGGTTGGCTGACGACAAAGGGAATGATTGACTATGAGACAGGGCCACCACTCTACACGTTCACCGTGTTAGGAATGACTGAAGCTGGATTATCAGGCTCGGCTGCTGTAAGTAGTTACATTGTCCCAGAACAGTTCTTAACCATGCCGTAGCAGTAAAAAAAGGAAAATTGTATTTTGGGACTGCTAGACACCCAAGCACATTTTTTTTCTGTGCCATACTCTTATGTGCTAACCTCTCGTAATGATATGGATTTGTACTCATTCCACTGAAAACTGTTGTATTTAATGTCACTTGCTTGTAAAAAGTTTTGATTATGCTGTATGAATATAGTTTGTGGTGCTAATTTGTGGTATCAACTGAGGTGAAGGTAACATTTGTTATGTTGTTGTCACTCTTTGGTGTCCCCTACAATAGGTTTGGGTTCACATCCAAGATTTGAACGACAACCCACCTGTCTTTGTGACATTCCCCAACGGAGCGGTGACAGTGGATGAAAATATGGCTGGCGGCTTTGTGGTTGCCACAGTAGCTGCCAATGATGCGGACTCGGGAATAAATGCCGATGTAAACAATTTTATTGACACATTTTTTATTGTGTTGCTCTATTTAAACGAATGGTTAGAACACAAATATGTGAGGCAATCTTAGGTCCTCTAGATGGTTAATAGTTTGCCTAGCAAAAATGGGTTACCAGCTGAAATGATGCTGTTTATATTACTAATGGCTGGTTCTCTGCTGCTCTTGCCAAGTGTACAAATGTATTTATATTGCTACTTATTGCAAATAATGGAATTTAAAATGAAAGTTTGCTTTCAAAGGAAACACTGTTGTGTATGGACATTAGATAGATCCTAACTTTCATAGCATATCAGGAGGTTTGTCATATCAGGAGGTATGTCATAT